AAAAAATATTTTTTTTATTTGATTTGTATGTTTGATATTTAGAGACGGTCTATAACAACGACAGAAACATTGGTTTCTAGTTGGAGGTGTTTGTGAATTAAGGTTTACATGATTTATAACATGGGAATGTTTTATGGACTGAAAATAGATTAATACAGTCATAATGTAATTATTATTATTCGGTATGTTTATATACTTAAAAAAAAGCTTGTGTGTATGTAGTAGAATTTGTATTGGTATGAACATTTTGTTTTCAAATTTCGTTATCATATAAAAACTGTACAATGACGAAATAGAGAATAGATCCTTCTTTTACGTACAATAGCTTAGTATTCCCGGTATCAGATCGTCCCTAGCTGTCTATAATACTTCACACAAAAATTTGTGTTTCATGCTACAGAACTAGAGTTTTCTCTCTCTCATTCCCGCAAGCTGCTGATCACCCCACTCTACGTGCTTCGTGAGCGAGCGGGAAACAGGGAAATAAATATACGTGGCGCGTTACTCAGATCCTTCGATTTGCTGACTTGGCCTGAACAAAAGCAATCCGGGACTTTGGTCACGTGACTTGCGTCAACCATCCAGCAAATTGAGGCAAGTAGACGCGCCGTTCCGATGTCGGTGTACTGGAAGGAGCAGTTGAAGACAACTTGTGGTGTGCTGCATATTTTCGACTTTTTGTGAAAATTTTTTGGGTGACCTCGAAAACAAAGGTATGTAGATGATCCTTAAACTTTCTAGTAATAGAATTGACACATTGAGTGGCCCTGGCATGCTTTGATTTTAGAAAAAATCTGCCAATTTAACCTAACTCTCGAGAGCCCACCTCACCACTCAACAAAAATGGCGACAAGAGATAACTATAAATGTTCCCTCGAAAAAAAACATCCTCTGCTCGTAGTTCGTTGTTGCTAGGCTTGTTATACTGTCTCCACCTTATACTTTAAGCTTCGATACTTCATTGAAAAAAAGTGCCATAAGCCTGGAAAGCTCTAACTGATTTTAATTTGCACTTTCTTTATCCCTTTGCGTAGTCGTGAGGGTTTCAGCCGAGGCTGTTAAGCGCGCCTAGATTCGCTCGTGAGTGCAGCCGATCTGCACCAAAATCTCCTTGATTTTAGGTTCTTTATAAATCGGTCTTATCACCATTCATTCTCACCTTGTAGCTGATAATTCTCCAAATATATCTTACCTCATCTGATGTTGTGGATTTAATCAGTTTTTACGTTTAGAAGTATTTTCGCTCGGTGTTATGAAACACTGTCGTGCGGTAGCAAGTATTTGTCTGGGCTTTCGAAAGATAGACAAAAAATAAACCTCAAAAATTCTAACTTGTTTTAAACATAACACCAAAATAAGATTATAGACATGTGTTCTACAATGTTAAGATTACGGGACAGGTCTTCTTGAATGAAAATGTTCTCCCGTTCAAGAGTTATGAACTTAAAATCAATGTGTAGTCGCCCTGCAGCATGGAACGTCTGCTCGACGACCATTGGTTTTACATACAACTGTCTCGCTCATCTGTGTATGTAATACATGACGTAGTATAGGTGAACCACGGTTTGTGTTAATTGAACGTAACAATTTTTTTTTAAGGTGAGCTTTCGTTTTTTTCAAGAAGGATGTTCATCAAATATTTTTTAGTGGAAATGTCGAAATATATTGCATAAATACATTTGTGAATTTTTTTGAGCTATTTAAACAATAAACGTGATTGCACATGTGTAAGTACACCGTGAACGTGATTCATGTACACGGGGTGGACGTTAATTACATAGTTTGGTGAAATTTTGGCACATCCTGTTTCACTTACTTTTTTTTTTAATTCATAGTATAAATTTCTATATACAAGTAACCTGGAAGTAAGATCTTAACATAATCTTTAAATCTGAGTATTATAATTCCTTGTACTGAACATCACTTACTCCCCAACGATGTAACTGAGTAATTGTAAATCCGAAACGGTTATACCATTCTTAAAGTAGGGTAGTCTGGTTATATAACATGTCAACCAGAATGTAGAATTATGGTATGTAAGTATATATTAGTGTGTAGCAAGTTAATATTTGTAGTTTTCAGTTAAAGATGACAATTATATTCAGCCTCACGGGTTGTAATATGATTTGTTTTTTAAACTAATGTATTTACATCATATATAACATGCATGAGTTTTGGAATCACTTGCTCGTTTTAAATAATGTAGAAAACGTTTATCAACGAGCTTTATCCAAGTTAGTCTATTCACGTAGTAGAAGTAGTACGTTTGAATATATTATGATTGAAGTATTTAAAAGAAATTGGTTTTAAATTATTTGTTATTTATCGTAGATATTAAAACCTTTATTATTTTACGAAAATAAAGAGAATATAAACGTAAACAGATATTGACGTGTAATTCACGAGTCTCGTGACAGTGACAGTGATTGGATATTTCTGTCTTCACGATGCCGCCTTACCTATAACCATTTCGCCGACCACAAACACAGACCACCCCGAGACCTCTCGGACGGGTGAGGTCAGACGGGCGGGCTACCATTCAGGCACCTCAAAACAGGCCCGCGGAAAAGGAAACTTGTAATTTGATGGTAGAAAAAAAATATATATATATTGCAAGGTTATCGTCTCAGTAAAGTATAACTAGGCCTTTTTTTGTTGGTGAGCTCGCGATATTTCAAAAACTATAAACAAATTTACTCTGATTTAGGAAGTGAATTTTAAAAATTATCGCAAACGTCAAAATTGTTAGGATTGCTGGATTTCGGTATTCGTTAAGCTATTTTGCCTGTTGAGTGTTTAAAAATATAGTTTCAGTAAAACTCCATTGAAAGTCTTTGAATTTAGGGGAAAACCTAGATATAAATGTTTGGTAAAAGAAAGAATCAGAAGTGGTTATCAGGAGGCATAGATAATATATATATATATATATTTATTTCCATAGAGACGGTGATAATTGAATAAATTGGTGTTTCTTAGAGTTTTCTTCCAAGCATGTGTGTATGTATCGTGTTAGCAAAGTGAGAGACACGATAATAATAAAAAACACACCACTTAGAATATGAATGACCTAAATAAAATCTAACGTTTGTCAGGAATCCTCATGTAAAGCTCGGTGTAACGTTTAAGGTAAGTGCCCGTCTATCTTTCAGATTTCTTGAACATACATGTACAGCAGTGCTGGGGCAGGACTCTCTAACGAACGCAGTCAACGTAGAAATTTGATAGCTACTCAAGGACTAGGCACTAGTCGCTTGCTGTTCGTGCCCTTGCATGTGTTTAAAGGGTGTGAGCGGGCCACAGTTGGCTAGAAAATCCTCCTCTACCGACAAGTTCGGAGTGAAGCCTAGTCATGCCAAATGACGCTTGGGTTCCCACTCGTAATAGCATGCATACCGGCACCTCCTGTCAGTAGGAATGGACGCGGCCGCCGTTCTGCGGCATTCCGCGACATGTATAAGTGTACGCAAACAACAAGCGACGTTTTCCCTCTTAAACCGGTACATCCACAATCGACTCCCTCTCCTTGTGTAGGATGTATGATCTTGGGACACTTCATCTGGGGATCCCACGGGCTTTATATTCAGAGGCCGCTCACTACGGAAGTTTTTTCTTTAATGTTTCATTCATTTTTTCCCTGAACTCTTTCAAAAGTTGCATCACACTCCGACGGAGAATAGAACTCAAAATTATATATATATATATATATATCAGTTTGAGGGCAAACTGTTCAAGGCCTAGCTTGTCGTGTATCGTGGGAAGCACAATTTCTTACGTCTCCGGAAACGTCTTGCACTGTAAAAACAAAATTCTACAGCTTTACAAAATCCCGAGCTTATTACAGTAAGGTACGTCCTCTCCCCCCTTACTCGAGGGAAGTTACTGTATGTAAATTAAAATTACCATGTTCTGTATTAAATAAAGTTGTTCGTAGAAACTTTGGGGCAGTATTCGTTTTTCATACCAAACGTTTATTTCTGTATGCTCTTCTCCGTTATTTTTAAAGATAAGTTGTTGTCAGATTCTGTTTCTGTAGCCTGTGCTGTATTTTGTAGAACTTTATTTTTGTGCTGTATTTTGTAGAACTTTATTTATATACACGCTGTTTAATCTAGTCTTACAAAATTTATCCCATGATTTTGAAGTTTTTTTCTTTGCTTTTGTTAAGCCGGCCTAGTATATTTGAATGGATAATTTTTTTTACAGTGAACTTTTAAAGGTTTTAGGCCTAAGATTTGCATTTCTCGGGGTTCGATCACTGTGACGATAATGCAATTTTCCAGATGAACTGCATTTTAATAGAACTGTCTTTTTTTCTTCTTCTAAATAAAGACTTGACTTCCCTTATAAGTTTTTCCTCTCTAATTTTAACCATGAAGTAACCGTTGTAATTTAAGGAGACTGTTTAGTATCTCGTGATCTTAATGTGGATACCGGAAAAAGTTTACGTTTGTTCCGTTATTTATGCCAGAGCACAGCAGGTATTTGAAAACTAAATAAATTAACGAGCCTGTTACAATGTATTTCAAAGGTAGAAAAAACATGCTTCTACATATACAATATTGTATGGCCAAATTCCAGGAGGTCTCCACTCATATAGATGCTAATAGTTTTGTAAGAAAACTCTGATTTTACTGATCGTTTCGTCAGAACGGTTAGTTATATATCAGTAAACTGTTACTACGAAATTATTCCCACATTATTGCTTTCCGGTTTGTTTTCTGTTGTCAGTGAAAATAAAATGATGAAATTAGATCGAGTAGGGTAATCTTTCAAACATAATACTTGCTATATATGTAAATGAAGTAACGACCTATATATCCAGAATGTATCTTTTATTGGCTAATTATTAGTAGAAATGTTTCGTAATAAACATGTATTATAATTAGTGAATATTGGCGCTTGCACAACAACGGGAGATGTTTGGGTTTGACGCCGTCAAGGAAGTTTTACTGTATTGTTAAATATTTGATTGGTTGATTGGAATAGAAGAATATAAGTTAAACAGCGTTAAATTTCTCCTGGATCTGAGAATCGAAACCTGTTTTGGAGTTTTTTTTTAATCTGCTGGTAGAAACATTATAAACAATTTTAAGACTGTCTTGGTTGCATCGTGAAGTGGCATTTTACCGATGTTGTTCCTATTAGTCTCATCCAAGATAGTAATCTAAGTAGCGTTTAAATTATTTTCCAAAAATCACCCCCACCCTTTATCAAAAATGATCAGGTACTTTCTATTATAGAAACAAAGCGCTGTGCATAGATATGCGCAACCGTAGAAACCTGGAGAGAAACTAAGCACTGAACATAAATACACGAAACCGTAGAAATCCCGGAGAGGAACGAAGGATTAGACATTGATATACGCAACCGCAGACCTCCTGGAGAAAACTTAAGCACTAAACATAGATCTATGCAACCGTGAAAATCCTGGAGAGAAACTAAGGACTGGACATAGATGTGCACAACCATGGAAATCCTGGAAAGAAACTAAGCATTGAGCATTGATATGCACAACTCTAGAAATCCTGGAGTCTTTTTAAACCTGTTTGTATTGATTTTAATCTAGTTTGGTGTGCTTGAGACCATGCGTTGCACATTAACAACTGATTAAATAAATAATCTTCTTGATACGTTATACTCTACGCAAAATGGGGTAGTAAGCAAATCGCGAAAGTTTGAACATGTGCTTTCTTCGTGGATTTTTTTGTGACTG